AAAGGAATGAAGCCCTGAAACACATTACGACATGGATGAAACTTGAAAACATGCTAATGTATAGCGTAAGAAGCTAGTCACAAAAGACCACTTTTGGGGGCCAATGGGGAGTGACTGTAATGAGTATAGCATCATCGTCCCAGGATAATGAAATGTTCTAAAACTGATTGTGGTGATGATCGTACAATTCTGTGAATGTACTAAAAACCACTAGGTTCAAAGCTTAAAAATGGGTAAATTATTATCTCAATACACCTGTTCTTTTAAAGGCATATTTACTCTCTTTACATATTTTAGGTGGAAACTCTAAAAGCATATTCTTTTGTATAGTAGTTTGTTAGTAAATAAGATATTAAGTCCAATTTGTACTCACGTTATCAAAGTAACAATCATAACCATCAGGAGAGGCTTTTTTCAAAGTTTCTTCTAAAGACTCTACTGTTTTGTAGTTAAAGGCAACATCATATCCAAGCTTTTTAAGGTAGGCAACCTTTTCATCAGACCCTGCTGCTCCAACAACTTTGCAGCCCTAAATGGGGAGGGAAAAATGGAAATCATTTATAAGTCAAAAGCATGAACCAACCCCCCTCCTAGCTAGTACAGTCAGGTTCCCCAATAACACCCTAAGTGCTGAGCCTTATATATGAAGATGGCCATATGGGCCAATAGGTCTATAGGTGAAATTAGTCCTTGAATCAGCCTACAACCCAACTTGTAACTTCTGCTTGCCTCTGACCAATCAGTAGATTCCAGTCTCTGTGGTTATATGGTTTACAGCTCGTTTTAAGTTGCTGGCTTGACAACCTTTATATTTGACTCTCTTGTTTCCTTACTTTTGGTCTTCTCTTGCAGTTACTTGCATGCTATCTTTTGGTACAGTGGTCCTTTAGACTATAATCTGGGCTCAGTTCTGGGACTCTCAGGCCCCTTGTCAGCCCTCCCAGTGACTGCCCCCTTGTTCTTTGATTTGGGCTAAAGCATTGGACTAGATCCTGTCTAATCATAGAGGAACTAGAGAACATTCTGAAAAGCACTTTCAGGATGAGACTAGAGACTGTATTGGTACAGAGAGTAGCTCTTCAGAAATCTCTCATATTCTGAATATATCTTCAACTTCTAAACAAGACCCACTCCACTGAATTCTGTGAGAGTGGGAAAGGTCTACTCTGTTCACTATTGTGTTCTCATTGCACACTGTGGGTGTTGAGTAAATGTTTGGCACTTGGAGAAGCCACTTACCTTGAGCTTAGCTATCTGCCCCACCACAGAGCCCACCGCTCCTGCCGCTGCATTAACCATCACTGTTTCTCCACCCTTCACACCACAGATGTCAAGTAGACCAAAGTAGGCTGTTAGCCTGAGGGAAGGAAATTAAAGATATGTGGATAGATTTGTTGCTTTCCCTTATAACTCATTCAGATACATCCTGAAGGCATTCGCGACAGCCCAGCGCTGTGGGTCCAAGTAAAAGACAAAAAATTAAAAAAAACCCACAGGAAATGAATATTGCTGACCACTAATGGTCCATCTCCTCCTTAGGAATAAAGATGATGGGAACTAGAGAAGAAATGGAGACTTGGATGGAAAGGGGCTGAACCTGTCAATCCCTAGGTCAAGTCTCAGAAGCAAGAGAAGATCCACTCGAGGACTCCTAGAACAGTGTGTCCTAGAACATGTGTGTCCTAGGGAGAGGGCGAACTTCGTGAGCAAAGCCTCCATGTCATCAACAGGACAGACAGAATGGTATGTGGTGTCTAGGCACAAGGGGGTCCTGGAGAGACACTGGGAGTTTTCCATGGCTCCTAAGTGGGATGGAAGAACTTGTGCCATTTCCCCATCTCATCCCAAAGGGGATGTCAAAGTTAGCTTGCAAAGAAAGAACTACAGGGTCTACAGAAATGCAGCTCAGACAGTACTGACAAATACTGGGTGAAGAATCCACTAGCTTGGATGGCCAGCCTGGAAGGCGATGTGGCAGAGGACTCAATGGGAAAAGGAGACTGGTGTAAGACTAAGACAGATCAAGTTCAAGAAGTTGTTGTCTCCCTTCTCCTGACACAGAATCTGTGTTAGCTCTTAGAGCTTTGCATCAACCTTAGGGATAGGAAAAAAAGGAAATCCTGAGTTTTAAACCTGAACAATGTGAACAATCACTGAATTTATTATGTTTTTGCACCCCCGAGTCTGAGGCAATGAAATCTGTATCCACTATGGTGATTGCTAAGCCGCTTGCAAAATTTCAGACAAATACACGTAAAGTTATTTCCATACAAAACAGAAATTATACGTCTGCCTCTGAGTATATCTGGGACCCATTAGGGTTGGAAATTGAAGGTGAGGCAGTGAAAGGCACAGAAATCTGCACTTTTTCTGAGGACCCAAAAGCTAATATTCCCACAGTGTTTTTTGAAAGTTAGATGGAGTACCACCAGCCTCAGAATCAACTGGAGTTTTACGAAAAATTTGGATTCCCAAGCCCCACCTCAGACCCACTGATTCAGAAATGCTGGAACATGAACACCTGGATTTTATACAACCAGGTGATTCTTAGGAATCAACAGAACCACCATCCCAATGAACGCTGAAGCCAGAGTGTGCTGGACAAGTTAGCGTAACCTCAAATGCGAAGCAGAAGGTGCATTTTCTGATTATGTCATTCCACCCATAACAATCAGTACCCCTCCCATCCCAATTTCCATTCTAGAAAATTCTAAAATCAGCTCTCAGTTAGACATATTGACCCGAGATACACAAGGCCTTTCCCAAACATCACACCCTTCTAAAAATGGAAAAGAGGTAAGATGAAGTCAACAGAAAAGGAATCTTAGAGGAAAAATTAAAGGCACACTTTGGTCTAAGGGGGACTTCAATCAATAACAGATTGGAGAGCAAAACACACGAACATCTCCAGCTTAGCAGAGAAAACAGAGGTCCAATGAAGGAAGCAACACAAACGCTGGGGGAATGTTAAACCTCTGGAGCCTGGAGAGCCGCAAGACATCCTATGTGCTGACCACATTCTGAACAAACTATTTTAGAAAACCAGAATGTCATGTTTTTGAACAAATGAAATAAACCCATGAAACTCACCCTGTCATGCCCACTGTTCCCAGAGCCAAAGACACTGGGATGGTGTCCGGCCACTCTGCGGGTAGCTTTTCCAGATCTTTCCCATCAGAAATAGAGTGTGTCATCCAGCCTGAACGAGCCACTACCAGAGCTCCTGCTGGGAAGGCTGAGTTTTTACTTTCCACAACTCTGCAAGATAAAGCACATTACGACATGGGAAACCTCTTTCAAGGGAGTTGGAATGCTGCATGGGTGGTTTCCTAAAAGGGCACTAAAGTTAATAATCCATGATTAAATATCCCACCACATCTCTCCATCGTAATTCCACGCCGCTGGTTCCTCTGCCTCCTTGAGAGAAAATATGGGCCATTAGAGCGGAACTCCCTGAACTGGTTCCACATCTGTCCCAGTCCTCACCCACTCCTCTCTAAAAGGCATGTATCCTCGGGCTCAAGGTGCCCTGGACACCAGCCTCTTCTGTTCTTCACGGGCCGCTCTCCATCCCTAGCCCCTCCTCTTCCCCAAATCTATAGCACTGTCCTCTCCAGCGCAGCCTTTCAGCCCTGCTACTCTACTAGGGTCACAACAACTTCTGATTGCAAAATCCAGTGGACACTCCTCATTCATTATCTGATTTTACCCTTCTACTGTATTCAACACTCTGGGCTACCCAGACTCCTCCTCATTGGTTTCCATAATATTGACTTCACTGGGATTTTTGCCTCCCCCTCTAAGCTGCTTCTTTTTAGTCTCATCTGTGGACTCTCTTTCTCCCACCTTCTCCCACTGTTACCATTTTTTACTGTCTCCCCCCCCCCCGATCATGAAGCTATGTAACACATTTATTTTAAGAAAATTTGATATACGAAATAAAAATATCGGTTCTATAGAGGGTATCATGCTTAGCAAAATAAGTCAATCAAAGAAAGACAACTATCATATGATCTCCCTGATATGAGGAAGTGGAGATGCAACATGGGGGGTTAAGGGGGTAGGAGAAGAATAAATGAAACAAGATGGGATTGGGAGGGAGACAAACCATAAGTGACTCTTAATCTCACAAAACAAACTGAAGTTTGCTGGGGGGAGGGGGGTTGGGAGAAGGGGGTGGGGTTATGGACATTGGGGAGGGTATGTGCTATGGTGAGTGCTGTGAAGTGTGTAAACCTGGCAATTCACAGACCTGTACCCCTGGGGATAAAAATATAAAAAATAAAAAATTAAAAAAATATATCGGTTCTAATCCCACAATACAAAGATAACTGCTAATATTCTGGGGTGTGTTACGGCAATCTTAAGGATATATTTTGAAATGTATATTATGAGAATGCAAACTGGTGCAGCCACTGCGGACAAAGTTATGGAGAGTTCTCAAAAAATTAAAAATAGAACTAACATATGATCCAGTAATTCCACTACTGGGTATTTGCCCCAAGAATATGAAAACACTAATTCAAAAAGATACATGCAGTCTCTTGTTTACCCCTGAATTCAAAAAGATATATCCACCCCAATGTTTACCTATATTATTTACAATAGCCAAACTATGGAAGCAACCTAAGTGTCCACCTATAGAAGAATGGATTAAGAAGATGTGGTTTATATATGTGTGTGTGTATATATATTAAGTGAGAAAAAGCAATTTATTGTAGGGCAAATAATCCCATTATTTAAGAAAAATTATAAATACTAGTTGGTGTACTAAACAATTTTTGAAATAATAATACATTAACAACACACACACATACATATATACATACACAATGGAATATTCCATTCCACAATGGAATATTACTCAGCCATCAGAAAGAAGTCTTGCCATCTGCAACAACATGGATGGATTCAGAAGGCATAATGCAAAGTAAAAGAAGTCAGTCAGAGAAAGACACATACCATATGATCTTACTCATATGTGGAATTTTTTTAAAAAGATATTTAATTTATTTATTAGAGAGAGAGCATGTGTGCAAGAGAGAGCAGGAGCAGGGGCAGAGGGAGAAGAAGAAGCAGACTCCCTGCTAAGCAGAGAGCCCAATGTGGGGTTCAATCCCAGGACCCTGAGATCGTGACCTAAGCCAAAAGCAGACACTTAACTGACTGAGCCACCCAGGTGCCCTCATATGTTGAATTTAAGAAACAAAACAAATGAACAAAGAAATAAGGAGACAAACAAACAAACAAAAAATAGACTCTTAAATGAAGTCAACAAACTGGAGGTTGCCAGAGGGAAGGTGGGCCCTGGGGGGATGGGTGAAATAGGTGATGGGGGATTAAGAGTACACTTAATTTTTTTTAGAGATTTTATTTATTCACTTGACAGAGAGAGAGACAGCTCAAGCAGGAGCAGCTTCAGGCAGAGGGAGAGGGAGAAGCAGGCTCCCTGCTGAGTAAGGAGCCAGACGCAGGGCTTGATCCTAGGACCCTGGGATCATGACCTGAATCAAAGGCAAACACTTAACTGACTGAGCCACTCAGGCGCTCCAAGAGTACAGTTATTGTAATGAGCACTGAATAATGTATAAAATTTTTGAATCACTATATTGTATATCTGAAACAAATAATACTGTATGTTAATTATACTGGATTTTAAAAAACCAAATAAATGCATTTTTAAATGTATATTATATGATTTACATAATTGAAATCACTTTGTTTTGCAACCCAGTTTTTCTTTCCCAACATTACATTAGTATATATGACTTATACTTATGTTAGTAAGAATCCTTTAAAAACAAATGAATTTAGGGGCACCTGGGTGACTCGGTCTGTGAAGCATCTGACTCTTTATTTCACCTTAGGTTTGTGAGATCAAACCCCATATTGGGGTCCATCCTGGGTGCAAAGCCTGCTTAATATTCTCTCGAGCAGGGGCACCTGGGTGGCTCAGTGGGTTAAAGCCTCTGCCTTCAGCTCAGGTCATAATCCCCGGCTCCTGGGATAGAGCGTCGTTGGGCTCTCTGCTCAGCGGGGAGCCTGCTTCCCACTCTCTCTCTGCCTGCCTCTCTGCCTATTTGTGATCTCTCTCTGTCAACTAAATAAAAAAATAAAATCTTAAAAAAAATATATTCTCTCGAGCAGATTTCCTGCTGAGGTCAGAGCCATATTGGGGGTGGGGGGGCTCGATCCCACGATCCTCAGATCACAACCTATACCAAAACCAAGAGTAAGATGCTCCAAGAGTCAGACACTCCACCAACTGGGCCACCCAGGTGCCCCCACATAAAAATTTTAAACTATGACTGGACATGGGAGAAAGATAAAAATAAAGACCTAAATATTTGCAACACTAATATTCCTAACACGTAAGAAGATCTCACGAATCACTATAAGAGATGAAAAGACCTAAAGGAATAAAGGAAAGGACATAAAGATATTCACAGAAGAAAACTGATAAATTACCAAAAAAGTCAACATTCCTAATAATGAAAGAAATGGAAGTTAAATGGAAACATCAATGTGACTTCACCTCAGATTGCCAAGATGATAAGCAATAGGCATATAGGTATGAGGAAACAAGTTCTTTAATATGCTATTGGAGGGAGTGGATATTCATACAATCTTTTCAAAAAGCAATGTGACGTCAAAAGTTCAAATTAAAAATGTGTTTCTCGGGGTGCCTGGGTGGCTCAGAGGGTTAAGCCTCTGCCTTCGGCTCGGGTCATGGTCTCATGGTCCTGGAATCGAGCCCCACTCTCTGCTCAGCAGGGAGCCTGTTTCCCCCTTTCTCTCTGCCTGTCTCTTTGCCTACTTGTGATCTCTCTCTGTTTGTCAAATAAATAAATAAAATCTTTTTTAAAAAATCTTTAAAAAAATTTTTTAAAAAATGTGTTTCTCTCAGGTTGGTGATTCCAGAAGAAATAAGAGTAAGGTGTGAACATGGGGAAGCAAAAGAAATCAAGAAAGCATGAGACCATGAAGGAAATGCTTAGTCTCTGAGATCAGAGGCTTAAGGAGAAGGTTAGATTAAAATCTGAAAAGAAAGATCCCAAGTCCCCCAAAATCCTTCGTGCTTATTTTTCCAGGATAACACCCAGTTGGGCCTACCATACCACATCCTGGTTGATACCAACTTCATCAACTTTTCCATTAAAGTCAAACTTGACTTAGTACAATCAATGATGGACTGTCTGTATGCTAAGTGTATCCCTTGTATAACTGACTGTGTAATGGATGAAACTGAGAAACTGGGGCAAAAGTATTGAGTACTTCTAAGGACTGCCAAGGATCCAAGATTTGAATGGTTACCATGCACACCAAAGGAATCTAGGCAGATGCCTCTTAGTACAGAGAGGAACTGAGCACAAGTGTTATATTGTGGCTACAGTTGACCAGGACCTTAAAGGAAGGATCCAGAAGATCCCTGGAGTTCCCATCATGTACATTTCTAACATAGGTACAACATTGAGCAGATGCTAGAAAATAATGGAGCCCTTTGGTTCTAATTCTTAAAAGATGGAGTTCTTCTGCCTTCCTTTACCAACTTTTTCTGTTGCCAGTTCGTATTAACAATATGCTATAACATGAATTACTCTTCTTACCCATTTGCTCTGTTACGAGCTGAGTATGGTTAAATACACTCACTTTTTGATGTCATTTTTAAATTGATATTTTGTATCATTTTAAATATTGTTGCATCTTTTTATAAATTAGATGATTGCGCATTCAAAAAAAAGGGCATCTCTCAGGCATCTTGGTGGCAAGGTTGGTTAAGCATCTGATGGGGTTTAGGCTCAAATCATGATCTCAGGGTGCTGAGATTGAACCCTGCACTGGGCTCTGTGCTCAGCATGGAGTCTTCTTAAGACTTTCTCCCTTTTCCTCTGCCCCTTCCCAAACCTGTGCTCTCTCTCTCTCTCTAAAATAATAAATAAATAAATAAGCATCTCCTTTGACCTATAATTTATACTTCTGGGAATTTAATGTGAAGCAATATTCATCCAAGTAGGCAGAGAATACACAGACATACACATAAAGAGGCATACATGTTCCTTGTAGAACTACTTGTGATAGAAAAAACTGGAAACAGTTGCTACCAGGAACAGATTAGTTACACAGCGAATAACAATGGGATTAATTTGCAGCCATTAAGGGATGCCTGGGTGGCTCAGTTGGTTGAGCGTCTAAGTTCAGTTCAGGTTGTGATTCTGGAGTCCTGGGTTTGAACCCTGTGTCAGGCTCCCTGCTCAGTGGGGAGTTTGCTTCTCCCTCTGTGCCTCCCCCCCTCCATGTGTGCTCTGTCTCTCTCAAATAAATAAAATCTTTGGGAGGAAAAAAAAGATTGATTAAAAAAAAACTGCAGCCATTAAAAGGTAGGTAGTATATTTACATATTATCAAAAAGATATCCATAACATATTAAGTGAGAAAAAGCAATTTATTGAAGGGCATATAATCCCATTATTTAAGAAAAATTATGAATACTAGTTGGTGTACTAAACAATTTTTGAAATAATAATACATTAACAACAGTCACCTCTAAGTTTCAGCTAGTGAGGGATCTTCCAGTTTCCATGATATTAATTTTTTTTTTTTAAGATTTTATTTATTTATTTGACAGACAGAGATCACAAGTAGGCAGAGAGGCAGGCAGAGAGAGGAAGGGAAGCAGGCTCCCTGCTGAGCAGAGAGCCCGATGTGGGGCTCGATCCCAGGACCCTGGGATCATGACCTGAGCCGAAGGCAGCGGCTTAACCCACTGAGCCACCCAGGTGCCCCCCATGATACTAATTTTTGATTTACTTGAATTTTTGCAATAATTGTAAGTTGGACAATTATAATTTTTTAAGTAATTTTTAAGTAGCGATGGTAATTTCACAGGCTTCCCTTCATCCCAATTAGTCAGGAAAGGGGCAAGGTTTCCCAAGCTGCTTCCAAGATCAGTGAGTGAATCACATGGGCTCAAGAAATTATAGGGATGATAGACAGAAGCAGACCCAGAGGAGGTAAAGGAGAGACATATTTCTCAGACATGGAGACACACAGAAATACCTGGCCACTTGCTGCCCCATCATCACATCACCCTCCTTCAATTTTTTGGATGCCACTCTGAAAAAAAAAAAAAAATTTAATACATAAAGACTTCTTGGGAAAGGGCACCTGGGTGGCTCAGTGGGCTGCATTTCTGACTCTTGATTTTGGCAGGGGAATTGGTTGGTATTGCAGGAGAATTGATTGGAAAGGCTTACAAATTGGAATCGTCACAGAATCCTACTAACCACTCAAAAAAGGGATGTTAGTTAACATTTGGAAACATTTTTTTTTTACCTTAGATTTGAATCTCTATTGATCAGCTCTGAAAACAATTATTTTAAAGAATGATGACTACATTATATACCAATAAGCAAAATCACTGAGAAGTTAGTGCCACATAAATGCTTTTATTCCCTCCCTTCCCTGAGTTGTTTACTAGGTACACATATTTGATTAAATTAAAAGAATACAGTTAAATGGAAGGCAAAAAACGCTTATTTTAGTCTTACCATCTTCCTCCACCCAAATTAGTTGCCAGTAGTGAAATGGACAAATTGGATTTGGGTTTCTTTAGTCTTTTACTTTTTTGGGAACAGTGAGAGGCAAATTGTGCATATTAAGATAGGAAATGGTGGTCAAAGAGAGGGGCCAAGGGAATCTCTCATCAAACTTCTCAAACCTTTGCTGGCAAAGATGAGCATCCATGAATCTTATCACTGATATTATACTGGGACAACAGGGGGAATGACAATCAGTTGGATATTTTAAAAGATGGACTATTTCAAAACAGGGTCCAAAGCACAACACGTAACTTTTTAGGAGGAAAATCATACCTCATATAAGGATCCACAGTAAGGAACAAAGCTTCCAGCAGGACCTCTATAAAATAAAGCATTCCACAGGCAATTAGAAACTCAATGCTTGATGCCTTCATTGACTTTGGCATTCTACGTAAACAGTTAAAGTAAACATTCTAAATAA